GTTTATTAATATTCCAGTGAAAACTTGTGTTTCCTAAACTGCACTAGAGCAGGTGAACAGCTGCAGGGTTATTTTTGTTTTGCTTGTTTTTAGCACTGGATGAACTGGTACTTAGTAACTGTTAAGATGGAGACAATGGATAGTAACTTTATCTGACAGAAGGCTTCTGCCATGGCAATATATTCAGTATGTACCTGAAGTCTTAATATTATAGTTTTATATAAATTTAAGACCCCTATTTGGAGATGTCAAAGTGGTGAGTGAATGTATTGAAGGATGTGAAAATAAATTATTGATAGAAGTCTAATAATTTTAAACATAGTGTTTCAGAGATTTGCCCAAGATAAAGGAGAAATAGTCTCTTATGCAAAATTATTCCTCTTCACATAGCACCTCTTTGTGGCTTTGGGGAAACAGGTGAATGAAAAGGACAGAAACGTAAATATAGATTCCTGTTATGTAAAAATGGCTATTTTCCTAGTGTTGTTGATATGATATAAAACATTTCAAAAAAATGTCGGGCTCTAGGAATGCAATGTTGTTAATTGCAGGCATTTGCTATTTGCTGTCATCATTATCTAAAGCAGCCCTTTCTTAACTGCTCCAAATGGCATTTTTTTAATTGTATTGTTACTGCATGCTTTAAGCTAGGAGCAGCTGCCATTCTGACAGGCCCATTCTCATCTTACATTATATAGGGTGGAAGTCAAAGGCCAATACTGTGTTTGCCTCATTTATGTTACTGTTTCTAAATATCTGCTTAAAGTGAGCATACTACTTTCTCTTGAATGATGCGGGCATCATTCAATGCTCTGTATCTCATTACAGGTGATACGTAATGAGTTTTGTGTGATATTCACACACGTTGGATAAATGGGATTATCAAATCCTTTTCTTTGTTTCACCACACTTCAACCCAGGTATTTTCCCTCACAACTACTCCCTGTTTCATATGTTTTTTAACATATTTTAACAAGATAGCAAGTTTTTTCAGTACCATATATCAGAGAGTACTTTCCAGATTGTGCTCATGGTGTCCTGTATTTTTAGGGCTTTTAAAAAGACAGGTTATTCTTAGATGATGTTTTAAGGTTTCTTAATAATTTTCTGATTTTATTTTTTTGTTGTCCTGAGTTGGATGAGGTGTCTATGCAGTGGTTCTAGGTTTGTCTAGGCATTTTAGAGGGGAAATGGAACAGGCAGGCTTATGTTTCAAAAACTGTTAACTGGTTTTGAGTGAACTTTGTCTTTTTGAGTTCTTCTTCCTTAAGGTGACTGTCTTCAAGAATCCCAGAACTTATGTAATCTAAATCAGTATTTATTGCTGAAAATAGAAGACAAACCATTGGAGTTTCTAGTCCAGGTCTGTGTCAAACTACTAGTAGAACACTGGGTACTGATTCTTGTACATACCTCCTCATTATGCTATTTTCCATTTAGTCATTAAGTTCAGGAAATATATATTTTGCAATATACTACTTCTCACTTAATCTACCTGCATGTTCCTGCCTTCAAGAAATTAAAATAATGAAAACTGGTAAGCAGGGTGGGTAAAGATCCCTTACTTGTAATATTGGACTTGTAAATAATTAATCAACTATCGTCACTGTCAGGTTATTATTTGAAGCACCTTTTTCAGGTGTTGGTGTTGGTTATTCAATGCTTTGTGATGAAGAAATAGCAATGAAACAAGACTATACACTTAATAACAGGACTGAATTTTATGTTCAGTATTAAAAAAAATGCAGCCTTTAAACCTCCTTTAGTTATCACTTCACAATTGCATAATGACTTGGGGATAAACTTTTCCTAATACTCAGCTGCCAATTAAGTAAGATAAAAAGCTAGCTATGTAAATGAAAAATATAAAATATCCCAACTGAATACAAATATTACATAACAGCAACTAATCTGCATGTTAATTATAGCTGCAATAACGGCAGGAGCTAGGCTGATCATGACAGTCAGTTCCGAATCATACTTGGCAGGGGATGATTGTTTTATTAAATTTTAATTAAGAAATAATATGGGTGGGAGATTTTTATAGAGATGAAATAAGTAGTATAAATACAGAATTATAGCCATTCAAATCTATTAAAGACTTGGATAACTTCAGACAATCAAATACTGAATAGGTTTGTCATGTTTTACTGCTCTGTTCTATTGGCAACCAAAAGTAAATACAACAAAGGAACTGTAGGTTATGAAAACCTTTTCAAAATGTAAAAGCTACCTTTCTCCTTCAATTAAGTAAATTGCCTGCTCTTTTATTGAGTGCTAGGAAATTTTAGATTATTTTTATGTCTTATGAGCAATCACATCTATTGACTAAAAGACTGATGGTAAGGAATATGTACACAATAAAAGAATTTTCTGACCTTAATTAATACAAGCTCACTAACATGAAATTGACTTTTTTATTCAGCTATTTGTTTAGTGTTCTGTAGTTCTCTGACTTTCTATAGCAAAGTTTGTAGTTGTGTTTTTAGCAAGGTGAGCATCTGTGCACTTTTAAACAAGGGTCGCTGGGTGGAAAGATCAAAAAAACCTGTGGTTTTATCCTGACTCTGCCAGTGACTTCTCTAGTGACTGAGTTAGGCACCTAATCACCACCCCAGTTTTTTATCTGAGAGGAAAAGATAATTATACCTCCTTTACTATGAAAACCACATTAACTCATTCAATATAAACTTGTACCGAGTATGAAAGCTCACTGTGCAATGCAGAGGAGGACCATGGAGCAAAATCTGGTGTGTGGAGGTTACAGTTCTGAAGGCCAAGCTGTAGCAGCTACAAAAGGCAGAGGAGCGGTGGAGGAGGGAAGGCAAAGGCCCGTGCAGTGTCTTACGCCGTCGGTGGCTGTCAGGGCTGTGAGGATCCCGCGGCCGGGGCCTGCCTGGAGCCCTGGCGGCAGCGGTGGGACAGGGCCCTGGCCTCGAGCCGGGCTGGGGACAGCAGGCTGGGGACAGGGGCGTGGGGCTCAGGCAAGGGCACCTGGCTGGGGTTCACCAAGGACAGGGCTGTGGGAGCCCTGGGTGGTGCTCAAATGGTGTCCTGAGCCACAGAGGGAGTCTGGGTCAGGGGAGACCCTGGGGACAGCAGCTAGAACCGGTGAGGCCTTGGAGATATGTCTAGATTGCCTAAGCTTCAGTATTCTTTGGAGTATAGAACCTAGTTTTGCCTTTCCTGGTTTATAATCAAAACCCTGATGGTGGTGAAGGCATTTTTTTGGGACTGATCTCTATGGCTGTGTGATGCTTTGGGTCACCAGCTGGCTCCAGCCAAGTGTTGCTCTGCTGGAGATGCCTCATTCCGTTTCGTACAGTGCTGTCCTCTGCAATGAGCTCATTCCTGTAGGTTGTGCTCCGTGTGTGTGCAGCACAGGATGTGTCTTTCAATGCAGAGTACAAAACATCTGATTCACTGCGTCCAAATTTGTCAGTGAATTAGGTCCAGTTATGCAAATACAAAGTAATTTTAAACTTCTGTTGCGTTATTTGCTTGGGAAGTGTACTGAATTACTGTTGTAACTCTGAATAATTTGTTATTATCATTATAGTAACATCACACTGGTGTAATCTCTAGTAAGAACATTAAACCTGCTTTCTGGGAGGGAAACTAACAGAGAAAAAAGAATATGATTAGCTAATTAGGTTGCAATGTTGAGCTTCTCTAAAAACAACTGTTGGTCTCCATATTACATTTTTAGCATTGTTCTGCTGTTCTTTGCTGACAGATTCAATGAAATTGCTTTATTAGTTGAGTGCTACTCTCAGGAAGTGCCTGTGCCCTTGTGTCCCACTGTGTCCTCAAGGCCATCTCACAGCTATGGGTTTTGGCCATCACAGGATAGTACTTCTACTGTAGTAATTATCACATAACCAGCATCAAACATCTTTGCTTGTATAAAAGATATCCCAAAGGGGATTAGTGGCAATTGATTTCCTGCTTAGTGGCCTACAGACAAGTAATCTATATACAAAATCTTTCAAGGTATTGGCCAGGGCAGAGTGCTTGGAATGCTAGTGAAGTTCTAGTTCTCAGGACTTTCTTCAGCACTGAATTTTGCTGCCTCTCCTATTTTTGTTTAGCGTAACTTGCCAAGTATTCAGGAAGTCATTAGTAGTATGCTGTCACCACAGGCATGCTCATGGCACTTCGCATGCAGTGTGATTTAAACACTGTACAATCCACGCTGGCATTTCCTGTCATCCCCCCTGATGTTTGTGCAGCACCCATGACTGTAGCACATGGCAGGCAGTTACAGAGCACGACATCCTTGCTGCAGCATCCATGAGAGACTGATATGAATTCCAGTGCTTGTTACTCATCAGTGAGCTTGGTGCAGCTGAGGCTCCTCTAATTTCTAGCTCTTCTTTCTGTAAGAGCCACTTACTGACAGAATAATTCCTGTGATATATTAAACACTTTCATTGAAACACAGGTTCACTGATAGTGTGGCAGCTCCCTGCAGATACTTTATGATGGATTTTTTTCCCCTCACACTTGATAATTGCTGTCTTGTTACATCATGCTTTTCAGTGAAGGTTTACTCAGATAATTAATTCTAGTGATAGGAAATTAAAATTGTACATAAATTGTGTTCACACCTAGTATGCATTATTTTGAACTGATACATCAAAAGGTCTTTCGGTGTATGTCTGGCAAATTCATTTATATGTAACTCTATAATTGCATACAGAGCTGTTGTCAATTATGTTTCTTGTAACAAAGGAACATATCATATATTTGGTGTGAAGTATATGTTTTGAAGATGTAATGTCAAGGAGAGTGTTATTATCTAGTTAATCTTGTACCTTATAGAACATTTCCATTTCTCTTATTTCTAAAGATGTGGCCATGTAGGTTCTTAATGTCACCTAGCAGGAATTCAGGAAGACAGATTTTCTGGTTTTTATTACTGTTCTTGGCCCTATCAATATCCTGACTTTCACTGTCAAATTGCTAAACATTAACTAACCCAAATACTTACTTTGCAGGAGGCCCAAAAGATCAATGGTGGTGCAGATACACAGGCAGATGGAGCCTGCAAACCAACAGATGAAAAAGAGGAGAATGTGGCAGCAGAAGTGGGATGGATGACGTCTGTGAAGGATTGGGCAGGAGTCATGATATCTGCCCAGACATTAACTGGCAGAGTACTTGTAAGTTTTCTATGATTTTCTATGTTGTTATTTTAAAGAATGTTTTTAAGAAGCACTATTTCCCAGCATTAGTGGAGGATTTTTGATTGGTTTGTTGCATCAGCACTAAGTCAATCCCAGTTTTCTCTGCAAAATAGCAGACTAATTCCCACTGCAAGAGAGAAGCAGAGAAAGCAAGTAAAAAATGGCTGCCAGTCCACTTTCCAGCATATTTCACACCTCTGGCCCATGATTTTGAACTACAAACAGTGAATTTATTAATTTCATGTTAGGTGTTAAAACTATAGACATATTTAATCTGAAAGTAAAATTGTACTTGGAAGAATGGAAGCAAACCTGGAAATTAAGCCAAGTATTACAAATGTAGAGAGTGGTCAGAACTGTAAAGCAAAGATAAACTTCTCATGGCTATGTAATGAGGTTTGTGATATATTCAATAGACTGATAATGACTTTATATTCCACTTATATTTTTCTTTATTAGTGTAGAAATCCTTCAAACCTGTGAGTAGTAACATATCAAATGGAGACAGATGATATGTGGTTTAAAAGGAAGAAAACATTTACTTTTTCACTTTATTTAATCATAATTGCTTTAGAGCATTGTCAAATATTAAAATGCAAGGGTTTTCTGTGGAGTTCACTGCAGTAAAAAGTGTCCCCTATGTAATTTGGATTAGTTTTCTTTTTAGCATGCACATACTTGTAAACCAGAATCTGAAATGATTTAAATCCCATTTAAAGCTTCAGAGAATCTCAGTGAAACTTTGTAACTAGTTTGGGTTGAACTGAAAAATTATTTGTGTCTTTGGTTAAGATATATTTGATGGTGAATCAGTTTTGGGCTATTTGGATGGAGGAGGAAATGGAGGAAAATAAGAGATTGCACTTCTTAATCAAGTCTTCGAAAGCAAAAAGTTAAGGTGACTTAATTGCCACTGTATTGTTTAATTCTGCAAGAAGAGTATTTTGATTATTTTTCCTAAAAATATCATTTTTCACTTTTGTTTATGTTCATTGCTGACTTTTATCAATATCTGGAAGCTGTGTTCCCTTGCTGCTTTTAGCACTATGTGTCTTCTCTGTGCAGCTGCCATGTTTACAGGCTTTTAGTGATTGTCTTCTAAAAAATGGCATTTTGCATGTTTCCTGACATCTTCAGTGTTAAAAATGAAAAACCTTAAAGTTGTGCTTCCAGTTCCAGTTTAAATATCAAAGCTAGAAATCCCCCAAAGCCAGAGTCCTCTGCTCCCACCTCTGCAGTCAGAAATTGCCCTGTGTTGGTTTTACTGGGCTGTATGTGAACACAGATACAAACCAACCACTGGGACCAAAACCTAATGTACATAATATAAAATACATTTTACTTCAATATAGTGGGAGAATTTAACGCTGTTTGATGATTTCATTTATTTCTTGGGAGTATTTTTTAGAGTTTCACATTGCATTTTATAAGGGACCAGCTGGCTAATGTCACTGGGTTAGGTTATTTCTGAGAGTATATTTATGATCTTGTCAAGGTATAGCAGCACATACTGTGCACATCTGGGTTTATCAGTATGCCTGACCATCTTGAGAAATCAGATGCATGGAACCTCTTAGTTAATTTTAGTCAGTTTAAAAAACAAAGTGCATTTAATTTAATACAGCACTTACCACATTCAGTATTTGAATTGACAGGACATAATTTATGGAGGATCATTTCCAGAATGGATCATTTGGGTGTTAATTTAAATTCTACTTTCTGAGAATATTTGCTAAAGGTTAACTACTTCAATGAAAATTTGTGCTAGAGAGTAATAATGCCATTATTTTTAGATATAGGATGTAGCAAAATCAAATCAATATTTATGTTGAAGTATATTGTTTGAAAATATTAGGACTTAATAATGGATAACTATTAATTTAATACAGGCTATTCCTGACAGCTACTCTGTTTCTGAATTGAACTGCAAAATTTGTTTTTTCCCCTGAAGAAAGAATTGGTCATTTCACAGTCCTCTGAAATCAAAATTGTATGTGATATCTGCAGCTAAAGAAATTATTATACACTTTTACACTGTGCGAGTTTAAATTAAAATGAATTTTATACATAAATTAAAATTAATCTTATACATCCAATGTTTACAAAAAAAGTTTCAAAAGCAGTCCAATGAAGATGGGCTTGGGAAAAGAGTTATAACTGAACTCAGTTCAGCGTGGTCACCTGAAGGCTATTGTGAAACTGCTGCCTGGATTTATGTGGGAAGTGAAGGAGACAAGTTAGTGCAGTGTGGAGCACACATCAGTGTAAAGTAGAAGCTTATTTGTGTTTTTTTGCTTATGGGAAAAGCTCCCATCATTATTCTTACCTGAACAGGCATTTTCTTCACTATGAATCTTAGTGGAATGTGAAGTGCTGTTTGTGGAATCTAAAAGGGCTACTTTATGGAACTCTCACTTCTGGGTTCTGTCACCACACCTTTGACATGTCTGATCTAGCTTTTAGTTCTTCCCTTGTGACCTTACAAAACAGCTTTCTAATTTATCGTATTGGTTTGTCCAGGTACTTTGTGAATATTGAAACAAATATTTAAATAGTGGGTGCTCCCATAATTACCCCTTTAATTGTTAAACTTTATGGCTATCCAGAGGTGAAGTAAATAAAGGCCAACAGTGTGGAAAATAGAGGACAACATACATGTTTAAAGGTTATAGCCACATAGTGTAGTACAAGATTGGTCATTTACATTGGCATTGGACCATTTGTACAATTCTCTAGTGAAATAAAATATTTATATTTATACAACAGATGCAGACTTGAAGGCCTTAAGCAACACTGTAGCCATAAAATTACTTGAAAACTTTTAAGTCAGAAAATACTTTTTTCCAACATACTTTACAAAATCATGTGTTTGTGCATCTGCTGGAAAGTAAGGGATGTAACTTGTTATTCATGGTCTGGGTCATTTGAGACAATTAATGAAATTGTTTAATCCAATCAGAGACAAACACTGAAGTTATTGATAGAGATGACTCTCCTCCACACTAGCTGTCTTATAAATGTTTAATTCGTTGGTGGTTGTGAGGGAAGGAAGGTTTCTGTACCTGAAATGAATGCTGAAAAAACCCAGCCATGTTTGTAATCCCCTCAACCACCCATTCCATTAATTAGATGGAAAATTACATTTAAAGAATAAGCAAAGAGGAGAAATCAGAACCTTGTTGTTGTTGGGAGCATCATGAGAAACAAGAATGGGAGATTTTAAATAGTTAAATTATTGAATTTTCAAAGCATTTCACTATCACTTGCTTATTATGTCAGGTGTTTCCTAGTCTGTAGTTCATGTCTGTAAGAGATGCAAAAGTGGCATGTGCATGGGATTGTACTAATATTGAATTGCTTCAGTAGTTATGTGAACAAAGTAAAGATAAAGTACTGAAATAGAAATAGACATCCTTACTGCTTTAGTAGCTAAATTTTATTTCTGACATTTCATAAGTGGCTTAGGCACAGAGAAATATTCAAACTACCCAGTTTCATCTGAAGGGCAGGCTTTGGAGGAAGAGATTTGTATAAGGAGATGCAGCATGTCCTTCAGTTAGAAACTGCTTTTGTTTTTAGAAGTAGTGCGGCTGGCTAAGTATGATGCCTACAGTTGTGTGACCAAAATAGCCTTTTTTCCTCATGCTTTATCTTTGAGAAGCACAACTGAAATATAATGTTCTTGGTGCCACAACCTTTGAAAATGTGACTTTTGTGCTTAAACAATGTAGATGGGAATTTGATGTATGATTTAAAAATGTGTCCATGTTAAATTGCACAAGCACACGATTTAAGAACATGCTAATTGAGCCTGAGCAGATCTGTCTGCATTTGATGTTGAGTGACACAAATATAAATAACAGCAAAAGGTAGTAGTTTACTTAAAATCTGCTCAGGGAAATAGCAATTTACTTTGAAGTGCTGTAAACTGCTGTAGATGATGTAAGCATCAGATTTCTAAGGTGAGTTTCTCAAAGAAGAGACAGACACATTCATAATTAATCTCAAGATGCAGGAAATTAAACATGTTTATGAACTGATTTTGCTTCCTGAAATTATATCAATTGAGTAAGAAGAAAAAGATTTCCTTAATTAGATGAAGTGTTTGTGCAATATACATATGACTTTATTCTGTGTATACAGAATAAAGTCATATGTACATTGTTGAATTTGACACAGTTCAGTCTATGGAAAACTGTAGACCCTTGACTGGACTTGTGAGGAACTATTAAAAAATAGAAGAGGTCCTCACTACTCATTTGGGGAAAACTGGTGGACCTTTAATTATATAAGTATTTATAGTAACTTTTCCTGGGAAATATATGTAGGTATTTTATATGATTTTTGGTTTTGATTGCTTGTGTGTTTTGGTTTTTTTCAGTGTTTTTCACTAGATTTGTTCTTGATGCTTTTTATTTACTTTTAATTTTTTTCTTCTGAATGAGAGGACTCAAATTTTTTAGTGTTGAGCGGGGGAAATCCCCACAAACTCTAGTGATAAGTAATAGTTTTCTAGCTGCCAAAGTGAAATTTAACAGTACAGAAATTGTAGGGTTTCTCCCTCTTTCCAAACGGTATTTTAATGAGAATAGGATCTTAAAGGATAGTTTGGTATTTGACAGATAAGAAAGTGAAGAAGCAGGTGTGGTTGGTATACGTATATATATTTTGACAGTGTTCTTGACAGTATCAGCTCTTTCACTACATTTTCAAAGCAGGAAGAGAAACCTTGAGCAAACATGCGTATGCTGCACCTCAGAATTCCAATATGAAGTTTAATATGAATTCTCAAGGATATGCAAAGTTCTCATAAATTTATTTCTTTTTCTTTTAATTTGGACCCTCTCATCCTGGTAATGTCCTGTAACCAATCTTCTTGTGAAATTAACATACAATTTTTTTTTTTTTTCTGAGCATGTGTAATGTTCTTAGGATGCAGTTAATCTGAATAGGACTTAATTTAGAATAAAATATAT